GTATGTTTTCGTACTGGACCTAATGGCCATTGTTCTGATCCGATTTAGGTGAAAGTGGTTAGTGCTTAGGTTTTAAAAAGATGCAGGTGATTAGGCATTACATCAATATATTTCCCACAATGGTGTTTAACATAATTTTTAAAAATTCATAAATTTTAGCCTGTTTCTGTTTTTGCAGTCTTTTAATCAGTTGACCTTTCTCCCCTCATGTGTGTTTGTATTGAACCAGGAACACCCGTGAATCGCATTCCCATCATGGCCAAACAGGTCCTGGATCTGTACATGCTCTACAAGCTGGTGACAGAGAAGGGCGGCTTGGTGGAGGTCATCAACAAGAAACTGTGGAGGGAGATTACCAAGGGACTTAACCTGCCTACCTCAATCACCAGTGCAGCCTTCACTCTTCGCACACAGTCAGTACACATGGGACACAGTTTACCTTCCTCTGCTTTTTTTTTCTTTTTTGTTTGTTTGGATTCACCCTTCTAGAGATAACCGACATAGCTAATTGAACATGATTTAACTTTTTTCATGATCTAACTCTGCATTACCTGTCAAAGCTTAAATCCTTTAATCCCTGATCTGTTGACTGCTTCACAGTCCTGCAGATGATGGTGATCTAATGTCAACAGCCACTTTGTTTTTCAAATTAACTGCTTCTTAGAAGTCATTTCTAACTATTGGATGTCCTTGAGGATATTAAAATGAGATGAGATCAGATCTCATCCTAACCTCCAGGAAACATGCTAATGCCCATTTTGGCACATTTTGTCACATTAAATGTATTTCTCTTGGTCAGTTTGGCTGAACTGAACTTCAGAAAATCTATTAGATGTTTTTGATTTATTTTAGGTCATTTGTTTTACTCTAAAGTTCTACTCCTCATGGTTTACTCCACAATTATAAAACCACTGTTTACACGTCCCTTTACTTTCAGATACATGAAGTACCTGTACCCATATGAATGTGATAAAAGAGGTCTGAGCAACCCCAATGAGCTTCAGGCAGCCATCGACAGCAATCGACGAGAAGGCAGACGGCAGAGCTTCGGCAGCTCCCTTTTCACATACTCCCCCAACGGGACCCCCACCATGCTGTCCTCCCCAAAAGTCTCTACGCCTAGCATGAGCTTGACAGTGGGCACCAACGGAGCATCGCTGGCCCCCATGCAGAAGATTAAGAAAGGTAGGAGCTATTTTAATAGTAGGTGACGTAAGCAAATGAATGATGCATTTGTTTTCCCTAACAAACAGAAACACTGATAAAGATTGAGTCAAGCTCTTTACAAATATTCTTAGACATCTAGTTTATGTAATTATTATCTTTTGTGAATCAGCTATGAGGTCTGTTATAAATATTACAGCATATAATATTTAGATGGATATGACTTTACCTGACACCACTTCACTCTTGCACCAGAAGAGGAGGGAGGCCAGCCGCTGCCGGGGGTCGGTATCCCTCGTCTGCCAGTGGGTCCCATACCTGGTCACTCAGTGGCCGCCGTGCAGGCAGCGGCAGCCCAGGCAGCGATGGCAGCTCAGGTGGCAGCTCTGGAGCAGCTGAGGGACAAACTGGAGGCAGGTGAGCCCCCTGAGAAGAAGATGGCCCTGCCTGCAGAGGAGCACCACCGGCTGCTGCAAAGAGCTCTGCAACACAACCTGCTGGCCATGACTGCTCAGATACCTATGAACATCCGCATAAACAATCAAGGTACCCAACCCAACAGGCAGACATTTTGTTAAGGTTTCCTGGAGCTGGATAATATAAAACATTTGGTTAATCAGATGGATCTGTGCATATATATAGAGGAAGTATTTTTCTTTCAGGTCAGGTTAATGATTACCAACATGGTTTCTATTGTCTTAATGTCACAGTAATAAAGAGAGAAAGATTTATTTTTATGCATTCTGACTCTCCCTTAAATGGTTTGTGATGACGTCATGATTTTCTAAGCTTTTTATTAATAATATATGAGTACTGTACAAGTCTGCTTCCCCATTGGATTGTACAAACATAATCAGCATGAGAATGTCCAATAATCTCACCATTCAGGATGAAAATCGGTTCTGAGTCCCAGAAATATCTGAAATATTAAAATCCAGCAAAGAATAAAAGCAGAAGACCTTGTAAAAGGACTGACTTAAACTAGTATAAGAGCGCAGTTACAGTGAAACCAGTCCTGTATCAACGTGGGCTAAAAAGTTAACTAGAAGCAACATTAGCTGCTTTTACAAAATACTGCAAGGTGAGGTTATATCACCTTTTACCTGTTGGTAGTGGTTTGCCATAAGGACTGTTTTAACATTTGGAGAGAAAACAGGAAGCTTGCAAGGCTGAGAAAATCACCACAAATGTTCTGTACGGGGCAGCAGCAACATGTCTGAGTTGTTTTGCTGCAGGAGGACTTTGCTTTCCAAAAATATGGAAGTATAAGGAGTAGAAATAATAAAGGGTCATCTTTAGACATGAGAATTACTTTATTTAGAAAGCACATTTAAAAAAAACAGCAAGCTTAGCTAACATGTTTTACAAAAATAAGTTACATCAGCCATACATTGAAGAAATTTATATGCACAGCTTTAAAGATTGACCAAGTTCACGATTCTATTTAACCCCATAAGCCCAGAGGGTTTTAGGAGCAAATTCCACCTGAAATTACAGAATCGAATTAAAGCAAGTGCAGCTCCCAAACTATACATTAGAAATACAATTGTTTGTATTTGTATGACAGAAAAGCATTAAAGAATATATTTCAAGTGGAACCACTTTTGTAAATATAGCTATTCCTGATTTATAGGTGAATAAATAAAGAAAAAAGAAAAATATTTATCCAAAATAAACACTGCAGAACACCATGAAACCCCATTTGAAACTGGATGAACCCTTAGACATTGTATATGCACATCTTGACTATAACTTAAGCAAATTTGAACTGAATAAGTTGAAGCATGTGATGTGGTCAAAGTGTGAGAAAGGCACTTTTTCACCCATAAATGGGAATCTGGCTAAAAAAATATGCTGATTTACATTATTGGAGATCTTCTGCATAACCCTTTGCTCCTAAGATACAATTGTTGTTTCATTGAAATTTTCCATTGAACACACAATAATATCATCAAGCTGAATAGAAAATACGATGAATTGCATAATTTTTGTCACCAAACGGGGATATTTTATTTTAAAAAAAAGAATTAGAAATCCAAAACTGTGCAACAATGTAAAAATCAAATAGAATCAGAAGCTTTTGTCAAAAAAATTGCTAAATAATTATTACACGTCCCCATCATCAGTCACAGGTGTAGCGGGACAAACCTGGTTTGCAATTTTTCCAAGGCTATAAAACAAAAAGTATTTGTGAAAAAAAATAATTGTGAAACATAAACACCATGTGACTGTGTTTTGGCCATTTCTATAAATAGATCAACATGAGCAGATGTCAGATGGGCTCAAGAAGTTAAATAAAGTATTCAGATGGGTTTGTATTGGATGTTCCATGTAGCCATAGATATTTTTAAATTTACCTATTTGGTTAAAAAACAGTGGATGTAACAACCGTGCTGTTAAATGTCTCGCATGGAAAGACACTTTTATGAAAAATAAATTTCCCCCCAACATGGGTGCATAATTTATAAGTGTGTGGTGTTGCTGTTGGTTAACTTGCATTAACATACTTTAAATGTAAAATCGCTGAAGCACTGCAGACATAAATACACACACTGAACTGCAGCGTACCTGTTTCTTTTACTCTGCTACTGTAACACACCTTTGGTTTCCATTCTCTTTTTTGTTTATGATCTCTGGATTCCACCCATCTTCCCTCTTTGCAACAGTTACCATCTCAATACATTCTTCTCTTCTCATCTCACCACAAACCGCAGCACCCAGCAGTAAGGAAAGAGCTAACAGCAGGCCTATATGTTGACCTGTTTAGCTTATAGGAGCAGCATGCATGCATACATGCTGTACATGTGTGTGTTTATCTTTGTGGGGGATTGTCTTTTGCAAGCGGCGTCTTTGATCTTATAGCGAAGGTTTGACTCGGTTTCTGACTATCTGATGGAACACGCAAACTGTTTCTAAGTATGCGATAAAACTGGCGACTTCAGAGAAACGTTCTTATGGAGATTTCTTTTTTTATAAAACAGATCACACAAAAGGTGTGTTTGCCAAGTTAGATAAATGGACACTTTATGTTTTGGAGATTTTAAACCCTGTTTGGGGATGAAGGAAAAAAATGCAAACAAAAGAATTAACCTATTGTCTTCCTGACAGATGGCAGGCAAGAGTCTGCTCTGAACCTCACCACAAACGGCACAAACAGCATCAGCATGTCAGTGGAGCTCAATGGAGTGGTGTACACTGGTGAGTACCTCTTTGATGTAGTACAGGATGTACAGCTCATCACTTCCTTCCTTTTTGATTACTTTGCCTCTTAATTTGATTTTCATTCAGGAGAAATTTCTACACTGTTTCCTCTCTGCATGCTTTCAAATTCAATTTTGGATGGATATACAATAAAATCTTCATGGGTTTTTAAAAATTCAGCTCAGTGGATGAACCTTGTTCTCTTTTTTCTTTCTTTATTTTTTTTAAACAGGACATCATTATTCTGTGCATATTAACAATTAGTTTTAAATGGTTTGAAAAGAAAAGTGTTCCAAGTCACAGACAAGGCATCAAAATGACTGCACCCTTTTTCTTTGCATGAAGTTAAGGTCTAGTACTCTTGATGCAAATGTGTACCATCCTGCAAATATTTCCACCAAAGTTTTTATCTGAAGCTTAAAAAAACGATTTAGCGACCTCACAGCTTTATCATCTTTATCTTTTCAATTCAATTCAGTCCATTTCTTCATCTTCAACATATTTAGTTTGGAGGTTTGCTTGTTACAGTATCAGACATATTCTTTAAATTAACATTTAAATTAGCCGTATTTTTGTAATATTTTAACATAGATTTGATTTTTGGCATAAAAATATTGTTTAAAGGTGAGATGGACCAATCAGGCCAATATTAATTACCAATTTTCTTCAGCCTCTGGCCAATCAGGTCTGATATTATTCACAATGATCTCAAGACACTTGAGCTTTGGATATATTGTTTGAAAATAAAGTTGCCTTTCTCCTTTTAATGATTCATTCATTAAAAAAAAAAACTTTATTTTAAGTTCTAATGTTTGCCCCTTTGAAAATTCAAAAATTCAAAATTCATTTTTGTACAGTTTCATTTGGACTTGTAATGAAAAAACAAAAGATGGCCATGGCTCAGAGATAGCATTTGTTGAGCTTATTTGAACTATTTAACAAATGTTCTTCTCTGTGATGCAATGCTATATTAGCAAATATTAACACTTCTTTATCTTTCCTTCATTTAAGTCTTATTTTAAATATAAAACAAAGTTGTATTTGAACATATATGTACTTCAGCTTTCACACAGCGTTAGAAATGCTAACATAACTTCCCCTGAGCGACACCACTGAACACACCTCATCATGACGCTGCGTTTATCAGCAGTTATTGTTTATCCTGCAGATGATAACCCTGCAGTGTCAATCCATGTCAATTATATAATTACTGTAGTATGTCAAAAAAAATGATGTTATTCTGCTTATTATGTGTCCCCGTTTCCAGCATATGTTGCTAAACTCAACTTAGACAAGACACTGAATGCTGTTTGAAGAATGTAAAGAATAAGGTTTAAAAAAAAAATGCTAGACATCCCATCGCTAAGTGTGTTTTCTTCAGTAAGTCCTTAAAATTCACTCTTCCGCTAATTCTTGCTCAGGACTGGATTGAAATTGATGTTCTGTGGATTCTAACAGTGATCGATGGTTCCGTTTTTGTCCTTTTCCTGTCTAGGTGTTCTTTTTGCTCAGGCAGCAGCAGGGTCAGCTTCGTCCAGTGCGTCTGTGTCATCCCTCTCCAACAAGCCCGTCAGCAGTCGTATTGCTCCACAGCAGCAGCAGCAGCAGCAGCAAAACACACCTACCTCAGCTTCCAGCACCCCACTGTCTTAACAAACCCCTCCCAATTTGTTTTTTTTTTTATTGTTATTACCACGCTAAGAAAAGCCAAAAAGCAACCTCATTTTCTACATCATCTATGCCAAAAAGAAAAGAGAAGAACCATCATCAGTACAGAAAGACAAACTGAAACTCAACTCACTTGAAGTACACTATCTCAGGTTTTCTCTCACAAACTCACCTCTTTTGTTCTTCATCGCCAAAAGGATTTTGAAACGAAATAATCCCAACTGAGAGCCAGTATATGCTAAACTTGTGCACAACCTGTGAATTATTTATTTCTGCATAAATGTACAGATTACTGGAGAACAACAGAGAAGGTAATAACTAGGAAGGCTAAAGCATTGTTTACACACACAAACACAGCTACTGACTGACAATGACATTATATCTTCTAGAGGAGAGATTTTGTTTTATTATTTTAACTTTTCATTGTCATTAGTATCATTATTGTTATTCTCTTTGTTGTGTTTTATTGTTTTAATCTTTAACGATCTTCTCATTGCAGGAAAAGTAATCTATATATTTAGAATTCTATGAAAAAAAGAAGTATGAATATCCTCTATTTTTAATCAGAGAAGCTTTCAAAGGTATGTTTTTTTTTGTTGTTTGTTTTTTTCCTTCAGGGCATAAATATATGGTGTGGCTGTGACCTCATTCTGTTGTAAAACCAGATAACCTTATTAACGTGGCAGCCCTGTGGGAGGACGAGGCTAGTGCAGGCCTGCATTCTGGTTCTTATCGTTGCCACACAGTCTTAAGTGAAACTGAAGAACATGCAGGGATCTTTTAATCACCTGGAGGACTTTTGGTGCATTATCAATCCCAGCCAGACCCGAGGTGGCACACATCTGCACGTAGCTGTTTTTTTTTTCCTTTTTGTGTGCTCGTTCTTCCAGAGACCGCTGTGGCTGGTTTGTATCTCAGATCTGCTCCTGCATGTTGACATGTGGCCAGTATGAGACTCGTATACGTCGTAAATACGTAGTCCTCAGAATGGCTCTCTGGAGCACAAGGGTACATTGTGCAGTTGGTATAAATTAACGAAAAAACACAAGTTTAGGTTCATTCGTCAAGATAACACACGTTATGATTTTTCTCAGGTGTCTCTTTGCTTTGTATGATTTATTTTTTACGGTAACTGTCTTCAATTACACTGGACAGAGTAATGCTTTCTACCCTTTCCCCTCTTCTTTCTGACTTTGCCTTCTTGTGGAGAGACACTTTAGGTCAGTTTCATGCATGATTTGTAGACAAAGATCCTTCAATCATAAATTAAGCAATTTTCCGTCTTTGACTTGCTCAATCCTTGTTATTCATGGGGGAGAAACTCACACGGACAATCAGGTGTCAGGAGACACACCCTGAGCCTTAGGAGAAACCAGACAGGCGTTTTCTGCTCATCTTTAACGAGCTTTCATAATGTTGATCACAGATGCTTTTATGTTTATTTCCGTTCTGCTTTGTGTTCTGCACGTCACTGTGCTTCTTCTGATCCAAGTGCTTCTTATCCGGCGCTGTGAGCGAGATGCAGCGGTTACAGCAGTGGCTGTTTTGGAATCCTCCAACTGTGCAGCTGTTTCTTAACCGGCCCCTCTCTGCTGGCTCTATGTTGCTTGTGTCTTATCACTGTTGCAAACTCTGCTGGATTTATGACAGAAGAGGCACTGGTTGGTAGTAAGTAGTGTCTCTGCATCTTGAAGTAGTTCAGTCAGTTACTCCTCTGCACAGTTGGCTAAAGATTGTTACTCAGCTCCTCGGGGCCACATCCGTACCAAGCGTCCTGCTCCCCTCCTGACGTTGGGGAGTAAATCAGGCTTTGTATGCGGGTTCCGATCTGAGGCCTTAACACAGCGTGGGGTGACCGGAGAGTGAGCAGTACCTCCACCTAATCACTTTTTACTGTTCAGTCAAATATCACCAGATGGCTTTCAGGGCTTTGATTTCTCTACCCGCCTCTCTGTGGGACATCACCACCAGCTGCTAAACAAACACTGGTCACTTTTCAAAAGCAACTCAATAAGAAATCTAAGTTAACAAAAAAGATTAAAATCCCCTAATCCTGCTGTAGTTCAAAAAGTAGCATGGTTTTAACAAGAAGTTTTGTCACAATCAGTTCGTTTAAGATGGTAAAGACACACAAAATCTGTAAAAAAAAAAAAAAAACATATGTTTAGACAATCTTTAGGGGCTTTTCATAAAAATTTAGAATCTTTTTATTTTTAAATAGGGATCATATTTGAACAAGATGGGTCCAAAATAAAAAATTAAAAACCAAGGCAGCTGGAAGTTTGTCAGAATGTAAGCCTCAATGCATAACACAATGTCCACTAAATCCAAAAGGAGTTGGAGCACAAAGTTTGAGTTTATATGATAATTATTTGAACTGAGATTTATCCAGTGAGGTCGAGGTTTGGGAAGGAAACACTCTGATTGCAAACTAGTACCGTAGAAAAGAATGGAACAGCTAATGAGCCTCTTCTTCTGCATTGTCACCATGCAGGCTGCTTTAACTGAAGAAAACAATACATATGGCAGCATAAAGTTGGATTTTCGATTTACTGCTCCAGTGTTGCCCTGCATTGTTACTCTGATGCCCAACGGAGTCCAAACAACATATTTAATAGAGTACTTTTAAATTGTAAGCCATGCAGGGATTATGCCAATCTCACTTTTTACTGGATAATCACTCCCTGTGTGATTTGTAAATTCCTTATTGTAGCATGCAAAACATTGTCTGAATAAAACCGTCCGCCACTCAGACTCCCAACAGTCTGTCTACATTTCATTTCACAAAAACCACAAGCTCTTGTTGTTAATTATTTATATTGGAGCACATCTAAATCCCATGGACACAGGAGGTTGTGGATTATTAAATAATATGCTCCTTAACAAGCTAATTAACTTGAAATATTATGTGGTTTACAAAATATTCCACTTATTTGTATTTAATAGTAATTACTCTGAGTGCACTCATTTCATTTGGGTATTTTTTTTCAGCAATGTACTCAAATTAATTGTTGAATTTCTCTCAATTTTACATTGTTGAATTATGCTACTGCTAAAAAAGAAGAAAAAAATATATTCTATAAGACTTAAACATCTTTATCGGTGCTATCAATAAAGGTGGGTGGTACAGTGGTCTCTATCAAGCATATATTTAGATTTTATAGCACTAAAATTTTAACTGTCTTTCCAACCTTTGCTTATTATTTGTGCAAATGTTGGTGTTTTCTTCATGATTTCCATTTTATTTAAAGGGAATGACCATTTTTGTAAAGATAGTATCAACTCAGCCTGGCATCACAGGTGGTTGATGCAGAATGAAGTTTTTTTTCTGTATTTGAGGCAGAGGTTTTCTCTTAACAAATCAAATTATCTTATTAAAAACAGGACCTGAGGTCGAACTCAAACTATTATTGATCTTTTATTGATCATGTTTCTTTAACTCGATTTGAATGTCATAGTTAATGGGACCACAAATATCCAAGGACTTGGGTTCACCCATTTATTAAAGCTAATGTATGAGAGCGAACATTTCAGGAGAACAAAGACCCGTAAACTGCTGCTGAAAACGTAACAAATAAAAAATTTTGACCAAGACACAATATAGAAACTAGAATTTATTTCTCTAAATAAGGCAGACATGTAAGCCCATTTCTGGTACAGATGATTTCCTATAAAAAAGGGTTACTTTTATAATTTTCCTGGTTTACGTAAAAGTCATTTCTGAATTTATTTGCCAAAATTAGCATATTCAGTGAAAATGTTTCTACCCATGAGTACCTTCCAATTCAACATCCATGTAGAAAATAATCTGTACTAGAGCTAAAACAATTGATTATTGAAATCTTCAATTTATAAATCGATTAATCGTTAACTGGATCATAGAGACTCAAAAACATGCCTTAAGCTGACAGAGCAGCCCACTTGGAGCAGTAATTACATCAAAATTGTAAAAAAAATTACATACAAATTTTGCATTTAAGTTGAACAAACTTTTTTTTCTGTCAGTATGCTACATCCAGAACTCCTCAATGGGAAAAGTTTTAGTTTCAACTAACCGAAACTAACTAATCGAAAGAATAAAAAATACATTAATCTATTTGCAAAATAATCGTTATTTGCAGCACTAATCTGTACCTTCTCCATATTCTCTCTTCCCTGCCTCACAATAAGGTGAATCATTCTGAATGGTCATAGAAAGCCCAGAATTACCACTGCAGGAGCCACATTGCTGACAATCAAAAAGCCAGCCTTCGATTGAATGTCTGTTAGGGGGGGAGGGAAACTAAATTTAATCAATCTTGATCTAAAGGATCAACATTGCCTTTTAAGGTTTCACCCTTTGACCTTTCAGCTCCCAAGGCAGCATTAAAGCACCTGCCCCCCCATTGGTCGATCCATGTTTATTGCATATCTATTGACTGCTTCTGTTGGATATTTGCATTTGAACAGTGGAGGCACTTCAGCTCCTTTCTCTCCCTCTCTCTTTCTCTGTATGGCAGTATTTTCAGGGAAGGTTGGTATGTTTGTTTGATTTTTATGGGGGGGTTTTATTGCATGGTAGCGACAATCAAGAGACAATATTACAGCCCATACCTCTAAAAAAATTTCTCGTACATCCCTTCATCCGCAACCAAAGCCCCTTTTCTACCTCAAGGACCTCAGCTTTGGCAGACTGCTTCTCATCAGAGGATCCTGTCATCCATGCAGAAAAAAACTCAATAAAATGTTTTTTTCTTCTTGCTTCACAAAGACCATTTAAGATTGTAATAACCACAGACAATCAGATAAATGTGACTCTCTCCTCTAATCAATAACCATTTTTAGTCAAGCCAGGAGAGCAGTCTTAAGCCTTATAGCTTCTGTGATAAGAGCGCCCTCTGGTGGAAGGTTTTATTACAATGCACAATCTGTTTTCTGAATGGAAATTTCACTTTTACCTCAACAACTGTACAATCTTTGAGCCTACCTGTAGATCAGATTTTTTTTTTTCAGGGATGTTGATGTTTTCCGTGGGTGTAGAACAGTCTGAAGGAGCTTTCAGGTGATCATGCAACACTACCACGGTTCAATCTAGACTCAAACTGTTACACAGGCAGTAGCTTTTCTTTCAGTGGAAAAAATTCCACATTTAATATTTGGCGTTAAGAGTCCTGTTAATGTGTAGCTGTGATCAAACTGGGGTCTGATATTTTAAGTCACATTGTAGCAAAGATACTTATCAGTTCATGAGTAGCACATGAACCAGAGCTGGTTCTGAGTTTTAAAAATGTCTGTCAAACTATTTTATGGGGGGGCAATTTTTTGTTTATTTTTTTTTTTTCCTGAATTCTTCCCTTGTGAAGCCTGCTGGTAGTTTCTGCCATTTACTTTGTCAACCCAAGTTGCGCTCTTGTCTGTTTTTGGACTTGCTGCTTTTTTCTGCTCTTTTGATGCTGTTGCACAAACTGGAACATATACCCTGTAAATCATTTATGTTGATCCAGCTTTGAAATCTCCCAAACTATAATATCAGCACAAGATCCTGGTCTCTTGCTCACAGATGATATTGAAATATAGCTGCTTTTCATCCAACCAAAGCTGTAGTTTTTTGTTGTTTTTTTTTTTTTTTTTATAATGAAGATTCTATAAATCAAACTAGGTCCTAAGCATCTTGTATATAAAATGACCTCCTGTTCCCATGTTTTGCCACCGAGCTGGAACATTATACGGGTTGAAGTGGGTTCAGGGCTTTTAACTGGACTTCATCACTGATTTAACCTCCATAAGGTTGGACTGTGGGCAGGGGAAACCATAATGAGAAAATGGAAAGAAGATGCCTTCTGCTGTGACAATTATATGAATTAATCTGTATTTCTAAGATTCGTAAAAATAGATTATTTCTAATAGATGGCTTTTTTAGGGGCTATGGATTATATCGTGTTTATATTGTTTGTTTGCTGTTTGTTTGCTTTTTGACATGCTTTTAGAAAACCGAGGCACACAGAGATTACTTCTAGAGCAGTTTTATGAATCCATCGATGAGTATATTGATAATAATGTGATTAATGTAGGGAAGAGAGAGTGTGTGTTGTGTGTGAGCGAGTGATCTTTGGGTGTCTTTGAGTATCTTCAGTACGGAAATAAGGCGTGTCTGTTGTGTCTTACAATTTCTCAGGAAAATCTACCTCTACCTCCAGTTTGATGCATTTTTTTTTACCCTGTTTGGGCTCATGTTACTGCTCAGCGGGGGGAGGGCGGGAGGGGAAGTATCGGGGTTTGAAATTACCTCCATCACATCAGATTAAACATGTACTGAGTGGGTGATTCCCACCTCAGGTGTCTTCTCACCCTTAATTCCAATCTCCATGTTGAACATTTGGATGCCTCCTTCTGTGTCCTCCTTCCTTTTTTAATGTTACACATTCGTAACACGTCTGCTGTTCAGTTCAGTTGAGCTCCAACAGCAGGGAACCTCCAGATGAACAGCTAACTACTACGAGTACTACAACAAGTTCTGCTTCCTGTACCACTGATAGTATGGCTAGTCCGTTTGTGAATCTTCCTATCTGCTCTTATAAAGTGTGCATTTTCCTCCCTCCTCTTGTTTTTTCTATAAATGATTACAGTCTTTTGATGAATGGGATGTTTTCCTGATAACCACGTCAACAGTGGCTGCGGGAGTTCAACTATTTTTATTTTTTTTTGTTATTTTTCTGAAGGGTGAAGAGCAGTTCTTGCCTATTTACTCAATATTTGTGTGAATACTTTTATTTGAATCTGAAATTAATAAAATATCATTCTTAAATGTTACAGGGCTGTGGATGTTTTTTTTTTCCCCCAATTTTTCAAACATCAGCATAAACTCTTCAACAGGATCTATTTGAGTTTATTAACATTAAGTCACAGCCACAATTTTATTAGTGTATTTTATCTGAGAAAAAGTAGCCTTATAAACATAAAAAATGGACGGAAAATTACAAAAAAACAGGCTTTACAATTTTTTTAGAAATTGAATTTGAGTCAGCGCTTCACAGATTCACATTTAATTACAAAAACATACAACTTCTACCTGTTTAAAATAAATTCTTCTTAAAAAAAACAAACAGCTTAAGCTCAGTCAGATTAAGAACCTAGGGGTCTGAAGATGTCATCATAGATGCATGTCTGCTGTGAGAGACATCATCTAAAAAGGAAATTACAATGTTTGATTTTTTAACTATATGTATAATACAGCTGCAAATAAGTATTTGAACACCATCAGTTAGAATTCTGATCCTTAA